TGTGTGTGTGCACGTGAACACGTGTGTGTGCATGCGAACATGTGTGTGAGCCTGTGAACGTGTGTGTCATGTGAACATGTGTGTGTGCACATGTAAACGTGTGCGTGCATGTAAACGCATGTGTGCCGGTGAACACGTGTGCATGCCTGTGAACATGTGTGTGTGCACGTGAACGTGTGTGTGAGCATGTGAACACGTGTGTCATGTGAACATGTGTGTCATGTGAACATGTGTGTGCACATGTAAACGCATGTGTGCCTGTGAACACGTGTGTCATGCGAACATGTGTGTGCCTGTAAACACGTGTGTGCCTGTGAACACGTGCGTGTCTATAAACAGGTGCATGCATGCAAACACGTGTGTGCGCCTGTGAGCAGGTGTATGTAAATGTGAACATATGTGCATGCATGCAAACATGTTTGTGCATATGAACAGGCATCCACACACGTGAACATGTGTGTGTGCGTGCCTGTACATGAGTGTGCACACATGTAAACATGTGTGTGTGTGCCTGTACACGGGTGTCACCCGCAGGCTCGGCGGAGACGCCCCAGGCCGGTGACAGCCCGTGCCGGTGGCTGCCCGGGCGGGTGCCATGGCGGGGGGCGCGGGGCTGGCCAAGCGCCTGGGCACCTTCGTGTCGGGGCTACTGGAGTGCGGCGCCTTCTGCGGCATCATCTTCGGCTGGGCCTCCCTCGTCTTCGTCCTGAAGGAACGGGGCTACTTCCGGTGGCTGTGCCAGCCCTCCCCCACCAACCACACCGAGGGGCTCGGTACGGAACCCTGCCTGCCCCTGTCCTCGTGTCCCCACTGTCCCCATACCCTTATGTGCCCTGTGTGCCCGCTGTCCCTTTGCCTAAGTCTCTGCTGTCCCCATGCTCACGTCTTTGCTGTCCCTAATGTCCTGATGCCCTGCAGCATCCTGTGTCCCCACTGTCTCCATGCCCATGTCCCTGCTAGACCCCGGCCATGTCTCCAGTATCCTCATGTCCCCAGTGTCCCCACATCCCCAGTGTTTCCCTGGGTTCCTGCTGTCTGCTGTTCCTGTGCCCGCGGGTCCCTGCATCCCCTCATCCCT